GCAACCTCCGCCTCCTGGGTTCAGGCAATTCTCCTGCCTCAGCCTCCAGAGTAGCTGGGATTACAGGCACGCGCCACCATGCCCAGCTAATTTTTTGTAGTTTTAGTAGAGACGGGGTTTCACCATGTTGACCAGGATGGTCTCGATCTCTTGACCTCGTGATCCACCCGCCTCGGCCTCCCAAAGTGCTGGGATTACAGGCGTGAGCCACCGTGCCCGGCCTCTCCAGGAAAATTCTAAGCTAAAATCACTCTTCCTTTGTATCTGCAGATAGTTTGAAATTTATACATTAAAACTTACTTGTTTTTGAAAAACTTCATATCTCTTTTGGGAAAGGCAGAGTCTTTCATGGTTTCTTCTCCTCCCCCTCTCCTTCCTTCCCCCTTTTGGGAATGACATCCTGGGGCAGAGGATGAACTTACAGCGCGTGCTGGCTGTGGGAAGCTGTGTCTGGGTAACTTTTTTTCTCTTTTCTAATGGTTCTCTGCCCCCAGTTCCTTGGCCTCTCCCATTGATTGCCAAGATTTCTGTGGCTGGTCTAATCTGTGATCAATTATCCCTGGCAAAGGCACTGGGGCTCAGCCACCTTGCCTGCTGGTGGCCACAGCGTGGCTCTGCCCCTGCTCATATCCTTCCAGTTTTGCTGGGGCTGCAGCCTGATCCTGGGCCTCTGTGGTCTGGGCTGTGGCCCCTGGCTCCAAGCCAGTTCTACCCTCTCCGTGACCATCCTGAAAACCAATTTACTACACATCAACTCACTAAAATCAACCCATCAACTAATCAGAAATTAATTCACCAAATCATCAATTCTTCAATTTTATCAGTTTGCCAACAACTTGGCTTTAAAGTTATTGTCCTTTTATATTGAATTGAATGGTTTTTACAGGCTTTTGAAGACTTTTGAAAAAATCTTAGTTAATTTGCCTTTCCTTTTGTCTTCATAGTAGTTTTTAAGTAATGTTTGATGTGTCAGATGTTGGGGATACAAGGGGAAGATGACAATGGTGACAGAGTTTTTTCATCTTCCCAAGTGTCCTCACAAAAACAGAGAGCACAATTGGGATAGCAAAGGAAAATACCCACAGTGTCTCTATCAGAACAGGGACATTCCTAGGGGACCTCCCAAGACTCTAGAATGTGTAGATCCAAGCAACCACACGGGATTCTGTGGACTCTAGTGCCATGTGGGGATAGCAGAGGGTTGAGAGGGGAGAGTTCTGGTGTTCCTAAGATCTCAGGAACACAGAAATGGCCAGTGCATGCCCGCCTCCCAAAAGAGGTGATCTCAGTCTAGAATTATTAATTCTGCCCTAGGTAGGAGAAGCTAGAGAGAAGATGGCATTTGAATTGTGCCTTGGAGGATAAATACGAGTTTACCGATGCAGAGAAGAGGATGGGAAGCTTGCAAGGAGAGAAGGGCTGGGCAAAGACACAGAGGTTTCAAAGCATGGGGCAGGCAGGGGACTGCTGTGTGGCCACGTAAATGAGGAGCCGGAGGAGGCGAAGCTTAGGAAACAGGCTGGTGTCAAATTGTGAAAGCCACAGATGTCCTGCTAATGTAATGGAGTTGTGCCTTATCTATGATTAATGGCAGTAAGAACAGTGTTTGTTTTGGAGCCAGGTGAAAGCAGGATGGACTTGAATTGATAGGAAGAGAAAAGGGGCAGCAAACCATTTAATTGATTGATTGATCAATTAATTATCCCAGTCTCCTTGTGAAAGTTCCAAACCTTATCACTTCCTCTCATTCCACATTCAGTTATACATGGCAGGAATTCCTTGCCTTTTACTTCATCAAGAAAACACCCTTCATCAGCGACATTCTGATCATTCTGAGACGCTGGCTTCTCTTTCTCCTTCTTCCTCAACTCTCAGAGGCTGGGGCTCTTCCTGCTCCAGGCTAACCCTGACCTCCACTTATGCCCCCGAGACCTTCACTCCTGCCTCCACTGGGCGCTTGTCTCAGCCGTCATCCCTTCTACCTCTGTTCAATCAGTCCCTTGCCGCCGGATCCTTCCCCTCAGTTTAGAATTCAGGCTCAAATCTTCCTTGTCCCCAACACTTTTCTCATCTCCCTAGCTTCCACCCCATCTCTCCTTTACTCTTCCCATGTTCCTCTGTGTTTCCTTTCTTCCCTCCCATACATTCTCAGTGCCACGGCAGTCTGACTTCCTTGTCCTCATTGGGACAGAAATTGATTGCCAAGGTCACCGAATCTTTATCTTGGTGGATTTCTCTGCTGCTTTCATCACAGGGGATCACTCCACTTTCTTGAAAACTCTCATTCAGATTTCAAGGCATCACACTCCTCTGGTTTTCTTGACACCACTCACATCATTCCTTCTGGGGCTTTTGCTCCTCTGGGAATCCATAAATGCAGGGTCTCTCTAGGGATCTGTCCCCAGCTAACAATGTCTCCTTGATCAAACATTCATTTATATAGCTTCAATTCTTAGTCATCTAATTATGTCTCACTTAGTAAAGAACCATGCTGGGCGTCTACTAGGTGCTTAGTAGCTGTCACGTCCTTTCTTCTCCCTAGACCTTTTGAATACAGCAACCAGGTCTTCTGTTAATGGAGAACAAAATCTAACCATTGTATCTCTTCTTTTCTAAAGTGAATCTTCTTCTTTTTCCATTTCTGTACACTCACTTTCCTGCTTTGGCTCTCTTCATCTGATCAAAATGAAAAATTAAAAGATATTTCAATATTTTTGTGTAATAGCTAATCGACTACAAACATTTATAGTCTTAGATGTGCAGTTTTATTATGCAATCACAAATGGTTTACACATTTGACTTTTCTCAAAACCAAAAATCAGTGTTTAAAACTGCTTTATACCTATATGTGGTGCTTGCTTGATGAAAACAAGCAACCAGAAAAAACCGGTCTACTCCCACTCAGTGTCTCCAACTCGGTAGCTTGCCTGGCTACCAACCAGGCCCTTCTCTGCCAGACACAAATGACACTCTGAGTTCACACTGCCCATTGGCCCAGGAGGGAATGGAGACCGTTCTCTATGCAGAAGTAGGTGTTTACCACAGAAACCTCCTTCCATGAGGTTGCTTCGGTTCTGCTTTCACTTTCCCGTCACATGCAAAGTGGCCCAGAAAACAGCAGCCCCTCCCTGGAACTATTTTCTTCCCTTCTCAGAGAGCAGCGTCTCCTACTCTCTGGAAAGTTTTGTGAGGAAATGGATTGCCTCCTTTCTTGGTGAAAATTAACTCTATTACTAAGTTCTTAGTGTTATTTGTTTATATAGCTCTCATGCCAAAAGAGAACCTCCCTGACAGGGCAGGAAAGTCATATGTTTATAAATAGTCGGAGACAGACCAAGGAGAAGGACAGAGCTGGCCACTGAGCCCAGAGGACTCTGTGACTCATCAATCCCATGGCAATTCACTGCTAGTCTTCTGCAAAACACTGTGACCCAGAGGTGACCCTCAGACACAAGGGAATAGGAACTCTGTAGGGACTTAAAGGCAATCTCTTTAATTGGGCGGAGCGTAGTATCTTTCCTCTCATGGTTTGCAGCTCAGCGTAAGGCCAGGCAAGCTCCCAGGAGGCCATCCAGGCTGGGAGGTCCCTAGAGAATCTCAAAGTCCTCACCAAAGGGTCACTCCTGCCTTAGCAACTGAGTAGGAAGCATTATTGCCACCAAACTGAACAAATCTGAGAAACTTAGGCCAGGAGGGAAGGGAGGACTTCAGGGTTTAGAGTTAAGCAGACTACTGCCCAGACAGGCGATGGAAGGACAGGGAGAGTCCAAAGCATCCTTTGAAACAGAAGCAGCATCTAGGGTGTGATGATAATCCAAGGACATGGTAGAACTTCAGGGGACAAACCCACGCAGATTCTAGAGAAAAAGTGTGTACATGGCCAGCGTGGGTTAGCCTCAAAGCCAGGGGGAGGTTTGATGGGACTGAGATGTCCTCATGAGGCCAAGCTGGAGTGGGACAGCCTCATTTCCAGAGGATTTGGGAAGTAGGATTTGGCAGAGAGGCAGGCTGGGACCAGCTGTAAAGGCTTTGCCAATCTGACTTGACTTAGTGCCACAGGAAAGTGAAGGCAGGAAGCTGAGGCTAATTGATTCTGGGCCTTTTGTTTTCTGCCTCAAAACAGAGAGCTCTGGGGTAGAGGAGGGAATCCTACTAGCACCCAGTAAATGACTGGAAAGATGTAGGGGGGAAATATTAAAAAAAAAAAATTTTAATGTGGTGTCGAAGTCCAGTTTGTCTGGAGCACAGCGTGTGTGTAAGGGCACAGAGGGAGATTACGCAGACTACACAACCTGCCATGCGAGGCTCGGGATGTGGACTTTGCAGGCAGCAGAGAGACAGTGAAGGATTTTGAGAAGGAGGTGAAGTGATCATGGTTGTGTTCCAGGACTATTAACCTGGCACTAGTGTAGCAAATAAGTCGGATCTGAGAGTGGCAGGAAGGTTAAAGAAAAAATAAGAACAGCCTTAGCCAACTGCTTCGGAGAACAACAGGGTAAGCTCAGAAATGCCCAGTTTGATAACAATAATTATCACAAAGGCGTTTGCTTTTGTAATGTACGTAGACTTGTCAATGTGCTTTTTCATCCATCACACCATTTGGTGCCTCTGGTGTGACCTTCCAAGTCCGTCCTCCCTCCCGGCCGTATCCATCCAGGCCCAGCCCCGGGAGTGTGCCCACTGCTCCTACAGTGCCTTCCACCGCTGGTCCTGAGTTTCGGAGAAGACACGGGGAGACGGCAAAGCTCTAGAAACAATGGAAACAATCTGGAGAATGGGTGGTCACTATGAGAGGAATAAAAGACGTCCGCTGTAGACAGCATATGTGGTGCAAGTCTATAATCCTGGAAAAAGTCGGGCTACATTAATCCTGTTCACCAAACCCTGAAATACACAACAGAGAGAGTCTTTTAAACTTTGAAGACGGTAAGTTTAGCATAACTAAAAAGGCAGACTCTCTCATACCAAGGCTAATAAACCTACGGGAACTCATTAGTCCCAAAAGTGCAATGTGTAAATTCTCAAAGCATGTGTACGTGTATATATGGATACACACACACACACACACACACACACGACAGAAACTTGAAGGATTGCTGAGAGAGCTCAAGGATACTTATGGTCTATTTAAACTTATGAAGCTTTTGTAGAGGAAATCTGTCCTTCTACACTTTGCTCCTGCTTGAAGAGGGAAGCCCTGTGCTTACAGCAGTATCCACCGGGAGTGATTTTACCTCACAGGGGATATTTGCCATTTTTGTTCTCACACTAGGAGAGGGGAGCACTATCTGATATCTGGCGGGTGTAGCCCAGGGATGTTCTAAACATCCTGCAATGCCTAGGACAGCCCTCAGCACAAAGAACGACTCAGCCCAAAATGGCAATGGTACCAGGTTGAGAAATCCTGACTTAGGGTCATGTTCCTGCCTTAAAGTGCAGTCGCTACTGTTTGCAAGCTTCATTACTGCAGGAGCTATTCCTCTGTTAAGGACCAAATTTTCTCTCTCCCCACAACTGGAAATTCCTATAGTGAAGCCTTAAAGCTTAATGTGACTGTGTTGGAGACAGGGCCTTTAAATAGGTAATTAAGGTGAAATGAAATCAGGTGGGACCCTAAGCCAATGAGACTAGTGTCCTATAAGAAGAGGAAGAGACACCAGGGGAGCAAATGCAAACAGGCCATGTGAGGACACAGTGAGAAGGCAGTCATCTCCAGGCCAGTGAGAGAGGCCTCGGAATGGAAACTACCTTGCTGGCAACTTGATCTTAGGCTTCCAGACTCTGAGAAAATAAGTTTAAGTTTAAGCCACCTCGCCTGTGGTGTCTTATCATGGTGGCCCTGGTTGACTAATCTACCCTTTCTCATTTGCCTTGAGCTCTTCCTCAATAAGTTTCCACTGAAAACGATGTTGGTGTGGCCCCCGCCTGCCCGATGGGCACACACAGCCCACGGTAGATGGACCTACACAAGTGACACTCGAACCCTGAGAGCTGAGGGGACCCCACCTACAGGCCAGCCAGGTGCAGGGCAAGGGAAGACCCACCCAGGCCACCCCAACTTCCTTGGATCACATGGGCTGTGGGGCCTGGTGGATCAGAGATGGGAGGTGTGGGAAGCTTGCTGCAGCTCCTCACCCGGACAGGAGGGAAGATGCCCCCCACATCCTCTAGTTCACCCTCTCAATTCAAGTTTTTCAGCCCCTGCCGCAGAGATCAGGGGATGGCACCAGATAGAATTTTTAATTCAAAAGGAAGCAGAATGTAAAGATTTAGAAAACTCTCAGTCTATCCATATTGTGAAAACTAAGAAAGCGCTTTCAGGAGAGAACACCTGCAGTGTGTCTACATGACCATTCGATGAGAAAATTAGTATGGATCGACCATCTCAGTGGAATCCAAGTGCCATTCATCAAGACAATGAAAGAATATCCCAAAGGCATTTCAGATCAGGGCTGCCACTCCTATCCCGGGCACAGAATGCAAGGGCATGGGGGACAGAATTACTTCAAAGGTGGGGCTACAGGTACTTGTGGGGCTCCGGCACTCACTGCCATGGGTCACCTTGAGGCTCTGCTCTCCACGCTCCATCACAGGGCTCATAGGCTACCCCAGGTGTGGCTCCAACAGATCCTGGTTTAGTGTGTGCTGTGCCAGCAAAGCTGTGGGGGCATGGTAACCTCCACCTAGGTTTCAGAGGATACTCTGGAAAGCCACAGAGTGTGGGCAGAAAGCCACCATGTGCAGGGTCACCATGCAGAAAGTGCACTGGGCAATGCCCAGTGAAGCAGGAGGGTAAGGGCACCCCTGAGGCCCTAGACCAGCAGAACCACTGGTATACAGTTTCACCCTGGAGAGCCTCGGGCACAGCGCTGCCTCAGAGGTAGGGCCACTGAGGGAGCAACCAGGAGAGCACGGCTGCCCAAAGCCGTGAGGCAGAGGCCACCTCCCCAATGTGCCTGGAGGGCAGAACCCTGATTCAAAAAGATTATTCTGGAAACTTGACTTGCTCAGGACCTGGTACACCTTTCTTCTCTCCCATTCCTCCTTTCGGAATAAGAATTTCTATCCCATGCCTGTCCCACCATTATATTTTGGAAGCAAATAGTATATTCAACTTCACAGCTGGAGAGCAATTTGCCTCACAATGAATCATTCCCTGAGTCTCACCCATATCTAATTTATTCTCTTAGCCCTTTTTATGTGTACAGTTGAGCTGTGTAAACAATATTCACACTGTTGTGTAACAACTCTAGAGCTTTTTTATATGCAAAATGAAACTTTATATTCAGGGGACAACTCCCTGTTTCCCACTCTTCCCTTCTCCTGAACCACCGCTCTATTTTCTGTTTCATACAGTATTTATCATTTTGTGACTGGCTTACGTCACTTACCATAATGTTCATCCATGTTGTAGTGGGTAACAGGATTTCTTTTTAAGGTTGAATTCCACTATACAGAAACTATATATATACATATATATATATATGTGTGTGTGTGTATATATATATATGTGTATATATACTGATTTTGTTTCCTTTGGGTATGTACCTAGAAGTGGAATTGCTGAATCATGTGATAATTTTATTTGTAATTTTTTAGGAAATCTCACACTGTTTTCCACGGTGGCTGCACCATTTACATTTCTACCAACAGTGCACCAGGATTCCGGTTCTCGACATCCTCATTAACACTTGTTAGTGTTTGTTTGGTTTGGTTTTACAGCGGCCGCCTTAATGGATCATCTCCATCTCATTGTGGTTTTGGTTCACGTTTCTCTAATAATAAGTGGTGTTATGCATATTTTTGTATACATGTTGGCTATTTGTATATATTATTTGAAGAATTATCTATTCAAGTCCTTTGCCCATTTTTAAACCAGGTTATTTGGTTTTTTTAATTGACAAAGAAAAATTATATATATCTATCATGTACAATGTGATGTTTAAAATAGGTATTCATTGTGGAATGGTTAAATTGACCTAATTAATATATACAGTATATACTTCTATGGTGAGAACGCTTAAAACCTACTCTCTTAGCAGTTTGCAAGAATACAATGCATTGTTATTAATTATAGTCACCATGTTGTACACCAGG